AGGAGGTTCGGTATTAACATACCTAATAGCGTTCACCAGGCCGACCTCCTATTCCTACCCCACGACAAGAGGTACAAGTATGCCTTAACCGTAGTGGACGTAGCCAGTCGCTACAAGGAAGCCGAACCCTTGACCGCGAAAGATTCTGCCCAGGTAGCCAGAGGATTGAACGCATATACAAACGCGAGTCCGCTGGCGTGGTCAACAGAGCTGCAAGTTGACCCCGGCGGAATTCATGGGTGTCGTGTCACACCTGTCAGACAAACACGATACAAAGGTCAGAAGTGTGCGCGGTAGGAGCCCATCGCAGCCAAGCCATAGTTGAGAGATTCAATAGGACTTTGGCTGAGCTTATTCGGGCATCAGTATGCGAGGGAGATGGCAACCCGGAAAAAGCGATCAACTGAATGGGTTGTGAGGTTACCCAAGGTGGTGTCGGCAATCAACCATGAAGTCACCCGTCTCACCGGCAAGAAACCGGCAGACGCTATCAAACTAAAATCAATAGTGGCAGAGTCGGCTGCTCCATTGCGTGGGAAGGAGAAACAGATACCAGATAGGGCCCTAGTAAGGTATCTATACCAGCCGGGGGAACACGAGGGTGATAGCCGTGAGCGAGCCACCGATCCTATATGGTCAGTCAAAACTTACAACATAGATAAAGTTGACATGAAAGCCGACGAGCCTAACTTGTACTACTTGAGGGATGGGCCAGGTAGGGGGTTTGTAAGAGCGGAATTATTGATCGTACCGTACGGCAGTGTTACCTCCAGTCAACACGGCATAGCGGTGCCCCAGGATACCAACACACTCCAGCCATGCCCCCGGTAGCTCAGTAGCGCGATTGTGAGGTGCGTTCGTATCCCGCTAGCGTCCCAAACTTTTTTATAGTAGGGGTAATGGTAGCAAGAGCTAAGGGTCCGACCAAAGCCTTATCTGTGAAATAAGGCTTTGCAGAGGCTTTGGTTGGAACTGGTCCAGAACCCCCATTGTATATACTACTAGTTTACATGCAGCATAAGCAGTACGAAGTTGCTTCCCTTTAACTGTTAATCTGTATGAACTTAATAATAGCTTGTGTAGCCTATTTTAGTGTGTATTTCATTATTTAATATTTGGGAAATTGTGTAATTTTCGGACATCGATTATAGCAGAATATTGAGGAAATTACTTGTTTTAAGTATTAAAAAGGACTTCAAGGAATATTTCAGGACATATACATAATTGTCAATGTATTTTGTAGTTGCATGTTCATAGGGTTTATCATTGTGTCAACTTTGGATATCATATTTAGGCATACCTGGAATATATGACTTAGTGTGATGGAATGTAGTACTTACCATATGTAAGTTTATTTAGACTGAATGTGGACTTTTGTATTTTTCATTTTTTTTACCCTCCTACCTAACTTTGGTACTACATTCTACCATCTGTACCTCTATCCACAATATGGTCCAATGGCAGTTTCTGAAAGAGAGCAGATGTCAAAGGTCTGAGTTATCATATAACAGCTGGGGAAACTCAGAAGGGTGTCTAAGAAGTGTAAACCACTGAGGAAGATGTAACAGTAGGTCTAGAAACTTCGAAACCATGATTGTGTCAGCCATGCTGGTGCCACCAGGAACATTGTCATGTGATGGTTCCTGATCTTGGCTAGGACATGCGGAATAAATGCCGTTGGTTGAAAAGCAGAGGCAATCATTCCTTCCCAACATGTTGACATGGCATCCATAAGCTTGGGGATCTGGGACTGGTCTTGCATAGGTCAGCAACTGGTTGTTGCGAGATGTTGCGAACAGATCTAGTTTTTGTTTGATGTTTAATGCCGAACTCAGCAATGTTCCAGCTATATGGCGGTGGTCTGTAAATAATAGAGTCTGGACTAGACAGAGAGCCTGACCACCCGATCCCATTAGTCGCTTCTTACGACAAGCGGGGCGGTGGGGTAGTCTAATGGTTAAAGCGTCCGCTCATCGTGAGGGAGACCCGGGTTCAATTCCCCACATTGGTACAATGTCACATGTGAAGCCCATTTCCAGTGTCCCCCACCATGATATTGCTGAAGGTACTGATGGAAGACAGATCAGAGATCTGTAGGAAATTTGAAACAGAGAGTAACATCCTGGGGTGATGCTTGAAGGCCTAGTCTCTTGTTACTGACGAAAAGATCCCTCCTGAGATAGTGTCAATGCTGCAAGGCATTGGATCTTTGCCCATCTGTTGCATGTGTGTCAAAGATGTTCTGACTGTTGAATGATGATAATCCATCCAAGTTGATGAAGCAGTTGGGTGGTGAACTGTTGATGCTGTTGAAGAATCTGACGATACACCATTGGCAATGATCTGGAAAGATCAGACGACCATCCTGAAGTGAGGAGGATACTTAAAGTGACTAGTATTGATTGGCACATAGAACCTGGGGGTTTCGGATGAGGAACCTGGTGACTCTATCACTAACTTCTCTAATATGGTACCCAAGGTGGTTGGAAGCACTGACTTGGCCAACATGGCTCACTCCTTCCCCTTCACGGTCTTGCCCAGAATGACAGTCCTAGAGCTAGTGGAAGATGATCCAGGTCGTCACCTGGAATGTGATCTGTATCCTTTTTTCTGGCTGGTGTGTACTGTGCCAGAAGTCTACAACATAAAAAGTCCTGCACCAGCATCTTTTGAAGTGTCAAGATTTCCACAGAGAACTGTGTCTCTGTTCCAACTTCAAAGGTATTTCGGGGGCGGTGGGGAAGCCTAGTGGTTAAAGCGTTCACTCATTGTAGACCCAGGTTCGATTCCCACATGGGTACAATGTGTGAAGACCATTTCTGGTGGCCCCTGCCGTGATATTGCTGAAATATTGCTAAAAGCGGTGTAAAACTCAACTCACTCACTCAAAGGTATATCATGGATGACTTCACTGAACAAATATGGACTTGACCACAACAGTCTAAAAAAAACTCTACCTTGTAGTGTTTATCCCATATAGAGTGGTTCAAAAGGCCGTGTCGCAAAATTGCTGTCATTCATTTGAAGAAGTGCATAATAATTTGGTCCAGGACTACATGGAACTGGTCATGTACAAGTGAAATATTGCTGCAGCACTATCTTCCGCTGACAACAGCCTTCGTGGCAGAGAGGATGAAATTTGTAGCAAGCAATGTCTTTCTGTTTGCCTTATCAAGATATCGACAAGTAGTGGGGAATAGTTGCACATGGGGCACAGGGTGTGGACATCCTATTTGATGGGATACAATGTGACAATGATGAACATGATTGTTTTACAAGAAGGACTTGGGAGAAGATATGCCATCTAGAAATGTCTTAAGTCCCTTAAATCCTGCATCAAGGTACGCACACAGTTAAAAGTTGAGCAGTTTATATGACAGCATATTCAATACTCTCAAGACTATATTCCAGGATAGACACATTATCTGAGGGTGGTGAAGGCAACATTGATGAAAAGGACACGGCAACAAACTCACAGAATGTGAATGTTGACAAGTAGTAGAAGGATCTGGTTGTTGAGCGTTCTTCAAAGCGACGAACATGCCTTGCACCACTGAGTGAAGGATAGTTGAATGTCTTGTGTATGATGATACCAGGAAACTGGAAGGATCGGCTGAGGAGGCCTCGATGAATGAGACATATAAATAAAAGTCAAATGATTCAGCAAATGATATATCCAAGGGATTGCCAAATGATAATCTGGAAACGCCAGAGCAGACACTGACGGTAGCGGCAAGTAGACAGGATTGGATGAGGCATCAACAATCATCCAGAAGAGGTTGTATGTTGGATGTAGACAGTAGGTGGAGGAGGAATAAATCTAACCAAGCCTAGTACATGAGACGGAAGTAAAGGAGGTAACATCACACACATCAGAGTAGAAAATACACTAGTAGAAGGAGGAATGATCCCTGGTCCACAAGGAATCGGCAATCCAGGAGAGATCGCCGTAACCTCACGCGGCAGATGACCCATTATGGAGGGTCAGCCAAATGTGAGTGTTTGGCGGATCTGTGGAGACATTGGAGCCTCTAAACAAACATTGTAAGTTCTCACCAAGATACGAGTTGGAAGGAGCATCAAAGAAATGGTCTTCTGTTGGGATTGGTAATGTAGATAAATGTTGAGCCTTTTTTTATAATTGCTACACCTTTTTCTTGCAGAGGGACCCATCTCTTCAGATTTATGATACAGTCTATACATGTGTGATGATCAAATAATGAAAATATTTCCTTGTTTAGCAACGTTTCCACTTCCTGGACCCTATGTTGTCCTTGCCCAAGCTTTAGAGATTAATTATCCTCTTCTAAGATGCCAAAAAAGTCAAACTTCGCCCCCAAGAATGATCTTCATCACCGGTATACAGCAATTTATCTAAGTCAACATAGGACATCAGCAGCCCAGTATGACAAGAAGAAGAATGATTATAGCTGGTGGTCACATGATCAGAAAGGGACAGGTCACATGCTCTGCATGGGCTTCAAGAGATATCCTGTATCAGTGACTGGACGATGGGTGTGTTCGACTGGGAAGTTCAGAGAATGTCTGAAAACTTTGTTCCAGGTCATATCCACTCCAGTCAAAAGAACAAGAGAAAGTGATTGACATGAGATATGATGAGTTTTAACATATGTATATTGAGATAGCATTCATAAAAGAGACTCATTTGTTTTCAAAATCAGTGGGTATTTTTGGAAGTATGAATGTGCATTAAGCATTTCACACTACACATAAGCATATGAATATTGCTGCTGGGGAAGCCTTCAATCTACAACCTCAACAGCTTCTACCATGTTTCATAACCATTGTGGGTCATGTAAGGGTCAATCCTATATACTCATCAGTATAATTAGGGTATAATATGTCTTGTGTGTTCATACACTTTTAAGAAATTAGTATCTAAATACAAGATCATAAAATATATCCCCTCTTCTTGTCAGCATTGATAAAGGGGTACAATTATCTATTTCATCAGAGAGTACATAATATTTTACACATACCTGCTACTGTCATGGTGGTAAGGATGTGCTCCACACTGAGGACATCTTCATCAATAACAGTCAGCAATGCCAAAACTGCTAAGACAGACCCAGCAAAGAATGCAACATTCCTGAAAGAAATTGTCAATAAAACAAACTGAATTCTTGCAGGAATTGATTAAACTGGAATTACTTGTCTAGTGACACATTGCATTCACTATAGTGAATAAAATTGGGAAGAGAATATTTTTATATCTATTCTAAACCCCTCAAAACACCCAATTTTACTCAATTTTCATGTGTGACAACTCCAGAGGCAGATGTGCAATTTGATTTTTTTGGTCTTTTTCAGGTTTTTCAACAGACATTGATTAACATATCATAACTAGTGATGCTACAGCTACATGCTTGGTGTGGTTTGGCCATTTCATGTATGGAAAAAGATTTTGTAAAAAAAGGTCAAACTTTGTCAAAAGGTTTCATTCACTACCGTAACATCCAAAAATAAATTGTAATAAACATGACTCCCTGGACTGTCTGCTAATTGTACTTCCTGTTTGCAAGCAATTGCAGTGAGGAAACCTGGCTGTCAAAAACTGACACAAAAACTTCATTTTTCTGAATTTTATCACAAAAATGGTGACTACAGATGATATCAGAGATTTTGGCATATCCTAACCATTACCAAGTACCTTAGACAGTAGGGGGAAATCATTTGAAACCATATGCTCAGTAAACTTTGAAGACCAGTTATTGTGTCACAACTGACATTATTAGTAGTTGTCGTTATTATTGGTTTTGTTACGGTAAGGACAGATTTTGTGACAGCAGTGACATTTAATATGGTTTGTATCTAAATTCAAAGATATCAACTGTTTTGGAATCTTATGTAACATAAACATTTTGTATTAAATGTTTAAAATTAATAAGCACATAAGTATGAGTTTTTTTGTTACAGTTAGTGTAACGGCTCTGACAAAGAAGAGAACAGCTGTGTCAGGGCCGTTACAGCAGTGACATTATATACTGCCACAATGTCATTTCCGAAACATACAGTCTTTACCTGTTTTTCACATGACAGGGACATCTAAGTAAATCTTTTGCCTATTACATATTCTTCAAACATTCTGAAATATCTGACTGACAAATTTCATTAAATCAGCTTTTAAAGTACCGGTAAACATATAAAACTGGCTGTTATAAAAAAAAGTCACTACTGTAACAATAGACTGGCCAGGCGCGCTTTGTGGATTTGTCAGACTTATTTCCAGGGTCAAACGATGCCTCAGAAGGGATGTGCTTCGGATTTTGCCATTAGCACTCGCTATGTCTATTACATGTTGCTGTGATTTGATGTGTACCTTTAACAAAACCATTACGGTCAAGACACCAGATTTGAGGCGGATCAAGGAGTGCGATAGGTCACACGATCAGTTAAATGTCGGCACCATCGTTCACGAAACCTACGTCTGCTCGAAGGTGAGAATTTGCACGAATTTCCACACTTTCACACATGTACAAAATCATTACCAACAGATGACAACAAATAGCAGTTTAAGATTCTGCAAGTGTTATAAACACGGACACTTCTAGTCACTACAAACTTGTTTTTGCTTAACGTTTTTAGTCACTACTGGGCATTAAGTTGGTATGCCATAAAGCTGAAATGAGACAGGTGAGAAAGGCGAGACACAATGCAAACAAATCTGACAGTGATTTGATTTCGGTTAGGGTCCACCGAAATAGCAAAACTTGTTACATTAAAGAACAATGTGGTTGATATTGATGCCTTCGCTCTTAGATATTCTTAAATTTGTCACACATTTTAGGATGTTTTAAAGTTTCAAAAGCACAATCTGAAGGCCTATACTGCAGTACAGTAAAACGTATCTGTTAATAGTGCAAAATATTCGAGGAGTAATATCTTTTTTATTCAAACGGAAATATAGTCAGCGTCAGCAGTTGCCTATCACGTAATATCCAAATATCCAAATTAATTCAAATGAGTGTCTATAAAACCATGACTTAAATATTTCAGAATTTCTAAAAAGAGATGGAACCTTGAATTGAATTACTTTACTCCATGTGGATCGGAGACGAACACTATGTGAGAAGAATACTGACTTTCTGGAATATTGGACGGAGTGAAATAAAAGCGTATTTCAAAACTATGAGAACATTATTTGTTTTGAATTTTTGTTACAATATAATTTGTTTACATGTAGGGGAGGTATATTGGTACATTTTAGGAGTTATAATATAACTGTCAGTTTAATCAGTTCACTGGAAATGATAGCAAGGTATGTTTTAAGATCTTGTGTCCTTTAGTAAACGTGGAAAGGTAATAAAATAAATAATAATAATCTAATCAATTATAAATAACTACTTAATTGACTGGCATATCAGTTTCATGTGATATTAAGGCAGAACTAGGCAAACAAACACTATATATATCATGGCAAAACAATCACTTGGTACTAACTAACTTGTTGGCTCCTGCTTTAAGATATCTTGGGTATTTTAAATAATATATTTACTGATAAGATTATTCTGAAAGTGATTACTAGTATCATAACTCATAATAAAGTTATTTCAACATCCAGAGAATTTGAAAAAAACAAAGGCTACGTTTTGGTCACACCCTGGTCAGGCATTATTCACTCTTAGAACAGAATAACTTACAAAATTCTCAGTTGACTTTTCATGTAACTGGAATGAATAATGAAACACATATTTGAAACCCAGATTTGATGTAATACTTCTTTGAAATCATCAGCTTTTGAGGAGGTTACCAATATTTGAAGACTGGTCCAAAGCAGTGTTTATTAAGATGTTGGTTTTGGACAAATTGTTCAAGGTTTGTTGATGGTTATTTTGAAAATGAGCTTCATATTAAATTGCACACTGGTTTGCAGGAGGTGAAAGCTCCAGGACATTTTCATGTCTTTTCCTAAACCTGTGTTATGACTTTTACCAAATTTTGAATCAACTTCACTATAATTTTTATGACACTAGTAAGTATCTGAGAAAAGGAAATAGATCAAAATTAGTGTTGTGTCCCGTAGGGATATGGTCTCAGATTTAATAAAACAAAGGTTATAATTGTTTAAGAAGCAATAATGTCAATATGTAATTTTATTGACAAAAAGCTTTAGGATATATAGGATATATTCTTTGTACCTTACTTACATTAGTAGTTAGCAGTTAAATATCTCTGAAGAAAAAGAAGTATATTTGTATTTTGTGTAACATTCTATTTCAATCCTAGTTAATTGTCTGGATAACTGTTGATCCTCTCTGTTCAAAGATTTTGCATCACAGGTTTCCTATTTCTGGAAGATGGATCAGTGCACAGGTGCAGACTGTATCCTGGATCTTCTTTGTGTTCTGGTGCTATTACATACCTGTACATAAATGCTGGCAGTTCATGAAGTCCAGTACTGTGGAAGTTTGTAAATTAGGATTCCACAACAAAGTATACACATATAAAAATAAATTGGAAAGGATGATTAAAAAAATGGATTTCCATATATTCAGGGTCATTTCAGGATGGTGTACAGATTTTGAAGAGGGAAACTTTACTGAGAATTGCTGCAGATTAGCTGCTGAATATTTGCTTCTGGGTATGTCCAGATACATCCATGGAAACATACTGTTTACAGGCCCAATAACCGTTCCCAGATTTCCAAATAAGATCAAATAGGTTAGGCTGTGATTGATTTGCTTACATTAATATATACAGACAAATAAGGTGCACCAAGTAGTAGACGGGAAATATTTTGTTCTGCTTTGTTCATTAACTCATTAAGCCCGAGAGACACTTCACTACTCAACACCTGGAACCCCTCGCTGATTGCCCGGCTCGCTGTTGCGAGCTAATTAGTGCTATTCACACCTGATTTCCCTGGAAGGTTTCGGGGATGACAGGAAACTGTCTAGTCGTACAAACAAGCTCTGATTGTTTAATTGTGTCGGAAAGATACAAGTTAAAAGAAAGCAGGTGTGAATACATATCATGTATGGCAACGTTTTATGTAATTTTATTGCAAGTTTCTCTTGTAGATCTTTGGCGACTTGTACATTTATGTTTCATCAACATATGTATGTTTTCTTTGTATGTAAGAGATGAGACATAAATAAACAAATTCTTTCTTTTATATCATTGTGTGAGGTTGAATTTTACAAAATATCTATGACCATGACATACTGTAATTTACATACATGCTTTATAATCTTCAACGATATTAGCGTTTTGCCGATAGTTATACTGTATACTGAATATTTCAAGGAAAGTACTATTACGCTAGTCTGTGACTAACAAAGAGCACATCATAACTTTGTTTCATCTATATTTAATGCAAAAACATACGTTATCATACGAACATACATATAAAAATTGCATGATACAGATTCCTTGTATAGACATAAAACAAAGAGTCACGTGATAGGGCGTCATCAAATTTCCCCAATAGAACATGCGGTATCTGAATCGCTCAATATAGTGGCTGATGATTTGTTGTCTATGACCAATCGTATCATGAGATACCTGTCACAGAGGAAGGGACAGGTGATGGGGCGTGGTCGAAATTTCTGAAGACCACGTTTGGTCACTCAACAGCTGGATAGAGATTGCTTATTGGCTATACCGTTGACCAGTCGATATGCTGGGTTTCGGCTTTAACAACTCAAGCTATCATGTAACAGTTTGTGTATTGTAAACATACATAATTGTAACAATCTATGAAATATACACATAAGACAAATAGGAGCAGATAGATCTCAGAGATCAAAAACACATTTTAGTGTTTTTCGATAAGTAAAACAAAGTGATTGAAATCCAACCATTGAGTAGAGATAGTATTTATTTTCATATACATTTTACGCACACAGCCAGTACATAATAGTTTGCTGTACATGTAAATATAATCTTCACCTTGATATGAATGAATATCCAAATTAAAGTACACGTATTATAGAATTCAAAAAGTGACACGATACTGAATTATTATAATGTACAAACTTGCAGTTTAATCCCCCCAAATATTTATGAAGATGGGCGAGCCTATATTTATACTGAATGTAAACGAGGTTCATAAGATTACAGATGTGCATGCATGCATAAACATTACAAAGAGGGGCGTGACTCCATAAAGCAGGTTGTCCAATGATATAACATCGCATCTGTTTATTTTACACTTGTCATGGGACAAACCTTTCATCAAGGGCGTAACTACAAATGCATTCTACCGGAGGCTGTTTTTTCAAGGTAGAAGAGGTCTTCAATTATCTCATTACTGTAATATGATTGATTATGTACTCATGTGTATCAATACCGTAACTGATATACTATCCAGCTTTTATTGACGATGGATCAATAGAGACTGTGTTCATTGTTACACGTGATAATTACACCGGATTTGATAATTACAGAGATCAAATAGAAATGTTTTACACAATGCTCATGTAAATTGCACAGAAAACTGACAATTCAAATCAACATGAAACTTTTAACAGCTTGAACAAAAATACTTGAAATACCTTTGTATGGTTTACATGTAATAACTTATGATATTACTTCTGTCTATGTCTAAGAAGTTTTGAAATTACCAACTTACTGTGTTTTGTGACAAACGTAGTAAAAGATTATCAACTTATTATTAGTAGTAGTAGTAAGTTAAATTATGTCTAATCTATTTGAGAATGGATGTATAATTATTTGTGTTTATACATTATGTTTCATTATATGAAACATGACACCGTAATAATACCTAAAAGTAAATTCAAACTGTTCTATTGTGTTTGATTTCTTTGTATGTCCTTGAAATTTCGTATATTTCCTATTTATTAGGAAGTTGAAGAAAATATAATCTTCAGTAACCTCGAAACCATTACATCTAATTCAATCAATGTGCATAAGAAGTATTTTATTATCCATTCCCAATGAAGAGTACCAGACACTTACCTCTGTAAACACATCATAATCCCTTTCTCACCGACATGTGTTCATTTGCCAAACGCTGTATAAGCCTATGATAATGATTAGCAATTGCTATCAAAACACTTTAAATACTTCTTCTGATTGACACTGAAGGTAGCATGTCTCGTAAGAAAAAAGCTAATATTTGCTCAGCCCTACTAAATTGGTTGAAATAATAGGTACAGTACGATTTTTAAAAGTACGACACACATGTGCGTCTCTCGCTGAATAAGAGGTGCTTTCTGTTGACGGATATATGTGGCTCTTGCTGTGAGAAACTGCCAATTACCTGCCCCATAAACACGTCACTCACTGTGAGGAGATGATTAATTTGCCCCATATATGCATCTCTCGGCCTTAATGAGTTAAAAGGTAGAGTTTTCACATTATTGATTTAACTAAATTTGAACAAGGGTTAATTAAATACAGGTGCCACGCGCAGTGTATATAATCTATTTATAGATACTGACACGATGTGCAACTTGAACATGTGGTTGTGTTCACGGTTTTTAAAAAATTACGAAGGGAATTTTTTAGGGGAAAAAAACAAACAACATAATTCAGTTACCCTTCCCCTGCTAATATCTTAGATGGACGTGAATTGCCAGATACATTATTTGGTTCGAAATAAAATACTCTTCCCACTCTCAGCAGCTCGCCGAGACGAATTTTCATCGGTCATGTAACACATTTTCACTCGCCAATTGCAATCTGTCAACTAAAATATATAAAAATAAAGTAATGCATATACTTTCCTCTTTAAATATCATTCACAAACGACAGATACCAAAGTACCACAAGCAGAATTCATCAACAATTTTCTCAATCACGTACGTTTCACTGGCGGTGGTTGTCCCCCTAACGTCAAAAACGAAGTGGGCGGGGCTTATCGTCCGGGACTGGATCGGTCTATTAATGCCACTGTCCATGCCACAACATTTTCCTTTTTTAATTTTTTTTATTGTTTTTAAAGATGTTTTACAGTCTATTCCGAAAACTCAACAAAGGACATTCAGGTTACAATACAATACAAGCATATGATGTACAAATCATGTGAACAGTTCATGACATGAAGACCAGAACTTATAAAAGGCGCTGATATTACACTCCATTAAAGAGGAGCACTTTGTTATCATATAATAATGTCTAATTTCATTCTGGAAAACATGAAAAGGTGGCACTCTGTTTTTTAATCTGCTTCCAGTTTTTAATCTGCTTTTGGCAAAAGCTGCATTTTGAATTATTTATATACCCAAATAGCTTTATATTTGTCGGTAAGATGTGATGTAATATTCTATATTGGAACCATTGCAGTTTACTGTCATTGGTGCATCTAAATGGTATTTTGTTATAATTTTTCCAGTCGTCAGACAAGACACCCACAAATGACACCCACACAAAATCTACCTTATTAAAACAAATCAATGACTATAATGAACAATTAGAAAATCTAAATAAAACAAAAACGCAGGGTCTTATAGTTAGATCAAAGGTAGTTTGGACCGAAAAGGGCGAAAAACCCACTCAATATTTTTTAAGTCTTGAAACAAGGAATTTCTTAAACGAGTCCTTCACTCGTCTAAAAAGTAATGATGGCAAAACTCTTACAAAGCAACAAGAGATACAAGACGAAATCAAATCTTTCTATTCTTAGTTATACAGCAAAAAAACATGATGTAAGAGACATAACATTTTCCTTATTTAATTATACAAGTGAGTCCAGTAATCTGTGCATCCAGTAATTCTGCGCAGCTGCAATAGCGTACTTCCGTATCGAAGGTAAACATCGTCTGCTACCACATTTACGTTTGAAATCGGGACATTTCTACAAGAGACTGGCTTTTAATCACTAAAGGTAAGTAAATAACAGTAATTGACATACATTAACAGTTTTATGAAAATTCGTTTTCTTCAGACTTTTAAACCTTTTTCTTCATTATTCATAATTGGATTTAATATGATACACTCTTAGTTACATTGCTGAAGAGACTTTTGAAAATAATCTGGCCCTAATACGCTTCCATACTTCGGATCTCCAGCTGGATGTTATGCGCATCAGTTGCTGCGCAGAATTACCGGACAGCAAGCGATGTCGTCAGAACGCCGGTAAGGTCAACCGTATGGCATAATGCAACGTTAGAATCTTATAGCCGTCAATAAAACTTATATTTCTGGGGTAAATATGATGCATACCAGCATGTTTAGTCACGTAAACCACAAAAAATAGGAGACGTTAGTTGCGGTGTTGCGATCGATGTGCTTAGGTGCGCGGTAATTACCGGATGGCATTATAATTGATTTATGTGTTTATGTCTGGAATGTGTAGTGCCAGTATGTGTGGTAGTAGAGCTTCAAGTAAGCACAATACAACTCATATTTTCATTCTGAATTGTTTGCTACATATTACTGTATTGTTCAAATCAGAAATGAAAGGAAGTTTTGGCTTGTTAGCCTCTTTAAACAATAAATCTTAAATTTCAAAACTCATTAGCCATGTTATATTGTAAAACTATAGATTCTAATACATATGTACATTAAATGATTTTAGCTTTGGATATTTTTCTTTTCAAAATGGCGTTACAAATTTTGTGGCGGTAGTGATGCAATTTCATGAAATTTCCAATAAAAAGGGTAAAATATGATAAATGAAATGTTGCTAAGCTGGCACAATTTATGTTTTATATATTCAGAATACTACAAAAGTAATCAACAACATTTCAAGGTAAAACAAGCAAACAAAATTTACAGTTTTTGCCTACATAAAATATGCACACAGTTTGAGAATGACTTCTGAATTATATTCAGCTGACTGGTGTTTAATCTTCTTGTGAGATCTGCAGTTGCTATGGCTTGATGTGGAATTTGTAACCATTAAATAATTGTTAGTGTTCCCAAGCTGAAACTGAAAACAAAGAACTAAGAAATGTGCTGTAACTAACAATTGGATTGGTAAAATTAACTAAGTTCACAAATCCATACAAAGGTATCACTATGGTTGTACACAATAGAGGGGCAGTACAAATTCAGAGGCAGTATAATATAACAGCACTGATTATAGCAACAAGAGTCATCAGGAGATGACATATCCCCCCGGCCCCTACATATTTGAAAGAACAAATCATCTGACAGTTACTTAAAGTCCAGTTTGACTTTTTTTTAAACTAAGTCCAAATCATTTCAATGGAAATCATGAGAAATATAAATGCCAAAAATCTGTAAATAGCAAAAGGCACCATTTCAACATTTGCCTAATATATCTGCCAAGTTCTGTTGAAAGATACTGAACGCTTTTCGAGTTGTGCACCGGAAATGAAGCCCACCCCTCCCTTTTGAGACTAAGTCTGAATCGTTTCCATGGAAACCGAGAAAAATAAATATGACAAAATCTGCAAATAGCAAAAGGCACCACTTCAAGATCTGTCTCATATATCTGCCAAGTTCTGTAGAAAGATATTGAACGGTTTTCAAGTTGTGCTGTGGAAACGAAACCCACCCCTCTTTTTTGAGACTAAGTCCGAATCGTTTCCATGGAAACCAAGATAATAATAAATCACAAATATCTGTAAATAGCAAAAGGCACCACCTTAGGTTCTGTTTGATATATCTACCAATTTTTGTTGAAAAATATCGAACGGTCTTGGAGTTATGCTCCAGAAACAAAATGATTACGGACGGACAGACGGACGAGGCGACGACTATATCCCCCCGCATTACATGCCGGGTGGATAAAAAATGCCTAACATCTGCAAATAGCAAAAGACACCACTTTGGGTTCTGCCTCACATATATGCCAAGTTTTGCTGAAAGATATTAAGAAGTTTTCGAGTTGTGCTCCGGAAACGAAACCTACCCCTCCCTTTTGAGACTAAGTCCGAATCATTTCCATGGAAACCGAGAAAAATAAAAATGACAAAAATCTGTAAATAGCAAAAGGCACCACTTCAAGATCTGTCTCATATATCTGCCAAGTTCTTTTGAAAGATATTGAATGGTTTTCGAGCTGTGCTCCGGAAACGAACCCCTCCCCTCCTTTTTGAGACTAAGTCTGAATCGTTTCCATGGAAACCGAGAAAATAATAAATCACAAAAATCTGTTAATAGCAAAAGGCACCACTTTAGGTTCTGTTTGATATATCTACCAATTATTGCAGAAAAATATTGAACAGTTATTGAGTTATGCTCCAGAAACGAAACCCACCCCTCCCTTTAAATATAGGTCCAAAACGTTTCCATGGAAACCGAGACAAATAAAAATGACAAAAATCTGTAAATAGCAAAAGGCACCCCTTTGGTTCTGTTTGCTACATCTACCAGTGTTTTTTTTTTGAATATTGAACGTTTTTGAGTTATGCTCCGGAAACAAAATGTTGACGGACGAATGGACGGGAGAAGGCGTCGACCATATCCCCGCATTACATGCCGGAGGACAAGGGCGTAACTACAAATGCATTCTACCGGAGGCTGTTTTTTCAAGGTAGAAAGAGGTCTTCAATTATCTCATTACTGTAATATGATTGATTATGTACTCATGTGTATCAATACCGTAACTGATATACTATCCAGCTTTTATTGACGATGGATCAATAGAGACTGTGTTCATTGTTACACGTGATAATTACACCGGATTTGATAATTACAGAGATCAAATAGAAATGTTTTACACAATGCTCATGTAAATTGCACAGAAAACTGACAATTCAAATCAACATGAAACTTTTAACAGCTTGAACAAAAATACTTGAAATACCTTTGTATGGTTTACATGTAATAACTTATGATATTACTTCTGTCTATGTCTAAGAAGTTTTTGAATTACCAACTTACTGTGTTTTGTGACAAACGTAGTAAAAGATTATCAACTTATTATTAGTAGTAGTAGTAAGTTAAATTATGTCTAATCTATTTGAGAATGGATGTATAATTATTTGTGTTTATACATTATGTTTCATTATATGAAACATGACACCGTAATAATACCTAAAAAGTAAATTCAAACTGTTCTATTGTGTTTGATTTCTTTGTATGTCCTTGAAATTTCGTATATTTCCTATTTATTAGGAAGTTGAAGAAAATATAATCTTCAGTAACCTCGAAACCATTACATCTAATTCAATCAATGTGCATAAGAAGTATTTTATTATCCATTCCCAATGAAGAGTACCAGACACTTACCTCTGTAAACACATCATAATCCCCTTTCTCGCCGACATGTGTTCATTTGCCAAACGCTGTATAAGCCTATGATAATGATTAGCAATTGCTATCAAAACACTTTAAATACTTCTTCTGATTGACACTGAAGGTAGCATGTCTCGTAAGAAAAGCTAATATTTGCTCAGCCCTACTAAATTGGTTGAAATAATAGGTACAGTACGATTTTTAAAAGTACGACACACATGTGCGTCTCTCGCTGAATAAGAGGTGCTTTCTGTTGACGGATATATGTGGCTCTTGCTGTGAGAAACTGCCAATTACCTGCCCCATAAACACGTCACTCACTGTGAGGAGATGATTAATTTGCCCCATATATGCATCTCTCGGCCTTAATGAGTTAAAAGGTAGAGTTTTCACATTATTGATTTAACTAAATTTGAACAAGGGTTAATTAAATACAGGTGCCACGCGCAGTGTATATAATCTATTTATAGATACTGACACGATGTGCAACTTGAACATGTGGTTGTGTTCACGGTTTTTAAAAAATTACGAAGGGAATTTTTTAGGGGAAAAAAACAAACAACATAATTCAGTTACCCTTCCCCTGCTAATATCTTAGATGGACGTGAATTGCCAGATACATTATTTGGTTCGAAATAAAATACTCTTCCCACTCTCAGCAGCTCGCCGAGACGAATTTTCATCGGTCATGTAACACATTTTCACTCGCCAATTGCAATCTGTCAACTAAAATATATAAAAATAAAGTACGTATAACTTTCCTCTTTAAATATCATTCACAAACGACAGATACCAAAGTACCACAAGCAGAATTCATCAACAATTTTCTCAATCACGTACGTTTCACTGGCGGTGGTTGTCCCCCTAACGTCAAAAACGAAGTGGGCGGGGCTTATCGTCCGGGACTGGATCGGTCTATTAATGCCACTGTCCATGCCACAACATTTTCCTTTTTTAATTTTTTTTATTGTTTTTAAAGATGTTTTACAGTCTATTCCGAAAACTCAACAAAGGACATTCAGGTTACAATACAATACAAGCATATGATGTACAAATCATGTGAACAGTTCATGACATGAAGACCAGAACTTATAAAAGGCGCGCTGATATTACACTCCATTAAAGAGGAGCACTTTGTTATCATATAATAATGTCTAATTTCATTCTGGAAAACATGAAAAGGTGGCACTCTGTTTTTTAATCTGCTTCCAGTTTTTTAATCTGCTTTTGGCAAAAGCTGCATTTTGAATTATTTATATACCCAAATAGCTTTATATTTGTCGGTAAGATGTGATGTAATATTCTATATTGGAACCATTGCAGTTTACTGTCATTGGTGCATCTAAATGGTATTTTGTTATAATTTTTCCAGTCGTCAGACAAGACACCCACAAATGACACCCACACAAAATCTACCTTATTAAAACAAATCAATGACTATAATGAACAATTAGAAAATCTAAATAAAACAAAAACGCAGGGTCTTATAGTTAGATCAAAGGTAGTTTGGACCGAAAAGGGCGAAAAACCCACTCAATATTTTTTAAGTCTTGAAACAAGGAATTTCTTAAACGAGTCCTTCACTCGTCTAAAAAGTAATGATGGCAAAACTCTTACAAAGCAACAAGAGATACAAGACGAAATCAAATCTTTCTATTCTTAGTTATACAGCAAAAAAACATGATGTAAGAGACATAACATTTTCCTTATTTAATTATACAAGTGAGTCCAGTAATCTGTGCATCCAGTAATTCTGCGCAGCTGCAATAGCGTACTTCCGTATCGAAGGTAAACATCGTCTGCTACCACATTTACGTTTGAAATCGGGACATTTCTACAAGAGACTGGCTTTTAATCACTAAAGGTAAGTAAATAACAGTAATTGACATACATTAACAGTTTTATGAAAATTCGTTTTCTTCAGACTTTTAAACCTTTTTCTTCATTATTCATAATTGGATTTAATATGATACACTCTTAGTTACATTGCTGAAGAGACTTTTGAAAATAATCTGGCCCTAATACGCTTCCATACTTCGGATCTCCAGCTGGATGTTATGCGCATCAGTTGCTGCGCAGAATTACCGGACAGCAAGCGATGTCGTCAGAACGCCGGTAAGGTCAACCGTATGGCATAATGCAACGTTAGAATCTTATAGCCGTCAATAAAACTTATATTTCTGGGGTAAATATGATGCATACCAGCATGTTTAGTCACGTAAACCACAAAAAATAGGAGACGTTAGTTGCGGTGTTGCGATCGATGTGCTTAGGTGCGCGGGTAATTACCGGATGGCATTATAATTGATTTATGTGTTTATGTCTGGAATGTGTAGTGCCAGTATGTGTGGTAGTAGAGCTTCAAGTAAGCACAATACAACTCATATTTTCATTCTGAATTGTTTGCTACATATTACTGTATTGTTCAAATCAGAAATGAAAGGAAGTTTTTGGCTTGTTAGCCTCTTTAAACAATAAATCTTAAATTTCAAAACTCATTAGCCATGTTATATTGTAAAACTATAGATTCTAATACATATGTACATTAAATGATTTTAGCTTTGGATATTTTTCTTTTCAAAATGACGTTACAAATTTTGTGACGGTAGTGATGCAATTTCATGAAATTTCCAATAAAAAGGGTAAAATATGATAAATGAAATGTTGCTAAGCTGGCACAATTTATGTTTTATATATTCAGAATACTACAAAAGTAATCAACAACATTTCAAGGTAAAACAAGCAAACAAAATTTACAGTTTTTGCCTACATAAAATATGCACACAGTTTGAGAATGACTTCTGAATTATATTCAGCTGACTGGTGTTTAATCTTCTTGTGAGATCTGCAGTTGCTATGGCTTGATGTGGAATTTGTAACCATTAAATAATTGTTAGTGTTCCCAAGCTGAAACTGAAAACAAAGAACTAAGAAATGTGCTGTAACTAACAATTGGATTGGTAAAATTAACTAAGTTCACAAATCCATACAAAGGTATCACTATGGTTGTACACAATAGAGGGGCAGTACAAATTCAGAGGCAGTATAATATAACAGCACTGATTATAGCAACAAGAGTCATCAGGAGATGACATATCCCCCCGGCCCCTACATATTTGAAAGAACAAATCATCTGACAGTTACTTAAAGTCCAGTTTGACTTTTTTTTAAACTAAGTCCAAATCATTTCAATGGAAATCATGAGAAATATAAATGCCAAAAATCTGTAAATAGCAAAAGGCACCATTTCAACATTTGCCTAATATATCTGCCAAGTTCTGTTGAAAGATACTGAACGCTTTTCGAGTTGTGCACCGGAAATGAAGCCCACCCCTCCCTTTTGAGACTAAGTCTGAATCGTTTCCATGGAAACCGAGAAAAATAAATATGACAAAATCTGCAAATAGCAAAAGGCACCACTTCAAGATCTGTCTCATATATCTGCCAAGTTCTGTAGAAAGATATTGAACGGTTTTCAAGTTGTGCTGTGGAAACGAAACCCACCCCTCTTTTTTTGAGACTAAGTCCGAATCGTTTCCATGGAAACCAAGATAATAATAAATCACAAATATCTGTAAATAGCAAAAGGCACCACCTTAGGTTCTGTTTGATATATCTACCAATTTTTGTTGAAAAATATCGAACGGTCTTGGAGTTATGCTCCAGAAACAAAATGATTACGGACGGACAGACGGATTGAGGCGGCGACGACTATATCCCCCCGCATTACATGCCGGGTGGATAAAAAATGCCTAACATCTGCAAATAGCAAAAGACACCACTTTGGGTTCTGCCTCACATATATGCCAAGTTTTGCTGAAAGATATTAAGAAGTTTTCGAGTTGTGCTCCGGAAACGAAACCTACCCCTCCCTTTTGAGACTAAGTCCGAATCATTTCCATGGAAACCGAGAAAAATAAAAATGACAAAAATCTGTAAATAGCAAAAGGCACCACTTCAAGATCTGTCTCATATATCTGCCAAGTTCTTTTGAAAGATATTGAATGGTTTTCGAGCTGTGCTCGAAACGAACCCTTCCCCTCCTTTTTGAGACTAAGTCTGAATCGTTTCCATGGAAACCGAGAAAATAATAAATCACAAAAATCTGTTAATAGCAAAAGGCACCACTTTAGGTTCTGTTTGATATATCTACCAATTATTGCAGAAAAATATTGAACAGTTATTGAGTTATGCTCCAGAAACGAAACCCACCCCTCCCTTTAAATATAGGTCCAAAACGTTTCCATGGAAACCGAGACAAATAAAAATGACAAAAATCTGTAAATAGCAAAAGGCACCCCTTTGGTTCTGTTTGCTACATCTACCAGTGTTTTTTTTTTGAATATTGAACGTTTTTGAGTTATGCTCCGGAAACAAAATGTTGACGGACGAATGGACGGGAGAAGGCGTCGACCATATCCCCCCCCCCGCATTACATGCCGGAGGACAAGGGCGTAACTACAAATGCATTCTACCGGAGGCTGTTTTTTCAAGGTAGAAAGAGGTCTTCAATTATCTCATTACTGTAATATGATTGATTATGTACTCATGTGTATCAATACCGTAACTGATATACTATCCAGCTTTTATTGACGATGGATCAATAGAGACTGTGTTCATTGTTACACGTGATAATTACACCGGATTTGATAATTACAGAGATCAAATAGAAATGTTTTACACAATGCTCATGTAAATTGCACAGAAAACTGACAATTCAAATCAACATGAAACTTTTAACAGCTTGAACAAAAATACTTGAAATACCTTTGTATGGTTTACATGTAATAACTTATGATATTACTTCTGTCTATGTCTAAGAAGTTTTTGAATTACCAACTTACTGTGTTTTGTGACAAACGTAGTAAAAGATTATCAACTTATTATTAGTAGTAGTAGTAAGTTAAATTATGTCTAATCTATTTGAGAATGGATGTATAATTATTTGTGTTTATACATTATGTTTCATTATATGAAACATGACACCGTAATAATACCTAAAAAGTAAATTCAAACTGTTCTATTGTGTTTGATTTCTTTGTATGTCCTTGAAATTTCGTATAGTTTCCTATTTATTAGGAAGTTGAAGAAAATATAATCTTCAGTAACCTCGAAACCATTACATCTAATTCAATCAATGTGCATAAGAAGTATTTTATTATCCATTCCCAATGAAGAGTACCAGACACTTACCTCTGTAAACACATCATAATCCCCTTTCTACATGTGTTCATTTGCCAAACGCTGTATAAGCCTATGATAATGATTAGCAATTGCTATCAAAACACTTTAAATACTTCTTCTGATTGACACTGAAGGTAGCATGTCTCGTAAGAAAAGCTAATATTTGCTCAGCCCTACTAAATTGGTTGAAATAATAGGTACAGTACGATTTTTAAAAGTACGACACACATGTGCGTCTCTCGCTGAATAAGAGGTGCTTTCTGTTGACGGATATATGTGGCTCTTTGCTGTGAGAAACTGCCAATTACCTGCCCCATAAACACGCCACTCACTGTGAGGAGATGATTAATTTGCCCCATATATGCATCTCTCGGCCTTAATGAGTTAAAAGGTAGAGTTTTCACATTATTGATTTAACTAAATTTGAACAAGGGTTAATTAAATACAGGTGCCACGCGCAGTGTATATAATCTATTTATAGATACTGACACGATGTGCAACTTGAACATGTGGTTGTGTTCACGGTTTTTAAAAAATTACGAAGGGAATTTTTTAGGGGAAAAAAACAAACAACATAATTCAGTTACCCTTCCCCTGCTAATATCTTAGATGGACGTGAATTGCCAGATACATTATTTGGTTCGAAATAAAATACTCTTCCCACTCTCAGCAGCTCGCCGAGACGAATTTTCATCGGTCATGTAACACATTTTCACTCGCCAATTGCAATCTGTCAACTAAAATATATAAAAATAAAGTACGTATAACTTTCCTCTTTAAATATCATTCACAAACGACAGATACCAAAGTACCACAAGCAGAATTCATCAACAATTTTCTCAATCACGTACGTTTCACTGGCGGTGGTTGTCCCCTAACGCCAAAACGGCGGGCGGGGCTTATCGTCCGGGACTGGATCGGTCTATTAATGCCACTGTCCATGCCACAACATTTTCCTTTTTTTATTTTTTTTATTGTTTTTAAAGATGTTTTACAGTCTATTCCGAAAACTCAACAAAGGACATTCAGGTTACAATACAATACAAGCATATGATGTACAAATCATGTGAACAGTTCATGACATGAAGACCAGAACTTATAAAAGGCGCTGATATTACACTCCATTAAAGAGGAGCACTTTGTTATCATATAATAATGTCTAATTTCATTCTGGAAAACATGAAAAGGTGGCACTCTGTTTTTTAATCTGCTTCCAGTTTTTTAATCTGCTTTTGGCAAAAGCTGCATTTTGAATTATTTATATACCCAAATAGCTTTATATTTGTCGGTAAGATGTGATGTAATATTCTATATTGGAACCATTGCAGTTTACTGTCATTGGTGCATCTAAATGGTATTTTGTTATAATTTTTCCAGTCGTCAGACAAGACACCCACAAATGACACCCACACAAAATCTACCTTATTAAAACAAATCAATGACTATAATGAACAATTAGAAAATCTAAATAAAACAAAAACGAGGGTCTTATAGTTAGATCAAAGGTAGTTTGGACCGAAAAGGGCGAAAAACCCACTCAATATTTTTTAAGTCTTGAAACAAGGAATTTCTTAAACGAGTCCTTCACTCGTCTAAAAAGTAATGATGGCAAAACTCTTACAAAGCAACAAGAGATACAAGACGAAATCAAATCTTTCTATTCTTAGTTATACAGCAAAAACATGATGTAAGAGACATAACATTTTCCTTATTTAATTATACAAGTGAGTCCAGTAATCTGTGCATCCAGTAATTCTCATGCGAGCTGCAATAGCGTACTTCGTGATCGAAGGTAAACATCGCCTGCTACCACATTTACGCTTTGAAATCGGGACATTTCTACAAGAGACTGGCTTTTAATCACTAAAGGTAAGTAAATAACAGTAATTGACATACATTAACAGTTTTATGAAAATTCGTTTTCTTCAGACTTTTAAACCTTTTTCTTCATTATTCATAATTGGATTTAATATGATACACTCTTAGTTACATTGCTGAAGAGACTTTTGAAAATAATCTGGCCCTAATACGCCTCCATACTTCGGATCTCCAGCTGGATGTTATGCGATCAGTTGCTGCGCAGAATTACCGGACAGCAAGCGATGTCGCCAGAACGCCGGGTAAGGTCAACCGTATGGCATAATGCAACGTTAGAATCTTATAGCCGTCAATAAAACTTATATTTCTGGGGTAAATATGATGCATACCAGCAGCATGTTTAGTCACGTAAACCACAAAAAATAGGAGACGTTAGTTGCGGTGTTGCGATCGATGTGCTTAGGTGCTCGGTAATTACCGGATGGCATTATAATTGATTTATGTGTTTATGTCTGGAATGTGTAGTGCCAGTATGTGTGGTAGTAGAGCTTCAAGTAAGCACAATACAACTCATATTTTCATTCTGAATTGTTTGCTACATATTACTGTATTGTTCAAATCAGAAATGAAAGGAAGTTTTTGGCTTGTTAGCCTCTTTAAACAATAAATCTTAAATTTCAAAACTCATTAGCCATGTTATATTGTAAAACTATAGATTCTAATACATATGTACATTAAATGATTTTAGCTTTGGATATTTTTCTTTTCAAAATGACGCTACAAATTTTGTGACGGTAGTGATGCAATTTCATGAAATTTCCAATAAAAAGGGTAAAATATGATAAATGAAATGTTGCTAAGCTGGCACAATTTATGTTTTATATATTCAGAATACTACAAAAGTAATCAACAACATTTCAAGGTAAAACAAGCAAACAAAATTTACAGTTTTGCCTACATAAAATATGCACACAGTTTGAGAATGACTTCTGAATTATATTCAGCTGACTGGTGTTTAATCTTCTTGTGAGATCTGCAGTTGCTATGGCTTGATGTGGAATTTGTAACCATTAAATAATTGTTAGTGTTCCCAAGCTGAAACTGAAAACAAAGAACTAAGAAATGTGCTGTAACTAACAATTGGATTGGTAAAATTAACTAAGTTCACAAATCCATACAAAGGTATCACTATGGTTGTACACAATAGAGGGGCAGTACAAATTCAGAGGCAGTATAATATAACAGCACTGATTATAGCAACAAGAGTCATCAGGAGATGACATATCCCCCCGGCCCCTACATATTTGAAAGAACAAATCATCTGACAGTTACTTAAAGTCCAGTTTGACTTTTTTTTAAACTAAGTCCAAATCATTTCAATGGAAATCATGAGAAATATAAATGCCAAAAATCTGTAAATAGCAAAAGGCACCATTTCAACATTTGCCTAATATATCTGCCAAGTTCTGTTGAAAGATACTGAACGCTTTTCGAGTTGTGCACCGGAAATGAAGCCCACCCCTCCCTTTTGAGACTAAGTCTGAATCGTTTCCATGGAAACCGAGAAAAATAAATATGACAAAATCTGCAAATAGCAAAAGGCACCACTTCAAGATCTGTCTCATATATCTGCCAAGTTCTGTAGAAAGATATTGAACGGTTTTCAAGTTGTGCTGTGGAAACGAAACCCACCCCTCTTTTTTGAGACTAAGTCCGAATCGTTTCCATGGAAACCAAGATAATAATAAATCACAAATATCTGTAAATAGCAAAAGGCACCACCTTAGGTTCTGTTTGATATATCTACCAATTTTTGTTGAAAAATATCGAACGGTCTTGGAGTTATGCTCCAGAAACAAAATGATTACGGACGGACAGACGGACGAGGCGACGACTATATCCCCCCGCATTACATGCCGGGTGGATAAAAAATGCCTAACATCTGCAAATAGCAAAAGACACCACTTTGGGTTCTGCCTCACATATATGCCAAGTTTTGCTGAAAGATATTAAGAAGTTTTCGAGTTGTGCTCCGGAAACGAAACCTACCCCTCCCTTTTGAGACTAAGTCCGAATCATTTCCATGGAAACCGAGAAAAATAAAAATGACAAAAATCTGTAAATAGCAAAAGGCACCACTTCAAGATCTGTCTCATATATCTGCCAAGTTCTGTAGAAAGATATTGATATCGAACGGTCTTGGAGTTATGCTCCAGAAACAAAATGATTACGGACGGACAGACGGACGAGGCGACGACTATATCCCCCCGCATTACATGCCGGGTGGATAAAAAATGCCTAACATCTGCAAATAGCAAAAGACACCACTTTGGGTTCTGCCTCACATATATGCCAAGTTTTGCTGAAAGATATTAAGAAGTTTTCGAGTTGTGCTCCGGAAACGAAACCTACCCCTCCCTTTTGAGACTAAGTCCGAATCATTTCCATGGAAACCGAGAAAATTAAAAATGACAAAAATCTGTAAATAGCAAAAGGCACCACTTCAAGATCTGTCTCATATATCTGCCAAGTTCTTTTGAAAGATATTGAATGGTTTTCGAGCTGTGTCTCGAAACGAACCCTCCCTCCTTTTGAGACTAAGTCTGAATCGCTTTCCATGGAAACCGAGAAAATAATAAATCACAAAAATCTGTTAATAGCAAAAGGCACCACTTTAGGTTCTGTTTGATATATCTACCAATTATTGCAGAAAAATATTGAACAGTTATTGAGTTATGCTCCAGAAACGAAACCCACCCCTCCCTTTAAATATAGGTCCAAAACGTTTCCATGGAAACCGAGACAAATAAAAATGACAAAAATCTGTAAATAGCAAAAGGCACCCCTTTGGTTCTGTTTGCTACATCTACCAGTGTTTTTTTTTTGAATATTGAACGTTTTTGAGTTATGCTCCGGAAACAAAATGTTGACGGACGAATGGACGGGAGAAGGCGTCGACCATATCCCCCCCGCATTACATGCCGGAGGACAAGGGCGTAACTACAAATGCATTCTACCGGAGGCTGTTTTTTCAAGGTAGAAAGAGGTCTTCAATTATCTCATTACTGTAATATGATTGATTATGTACTCATGTGTATCAATACCGTAACTGAATTACTATCCAGCTTTTATTGACGATGGATCAATATGCTCCGGAAACAAAATGATTTCGGACGAACGGACGGGAGAAGGCGTCGACCATATCCCCCCCGCATTACATGCCGGAGGATAAAAAGGTTTCTGCATGGCCTTTCATATGTGACTTTAGTCTTGTACTTTCAGGTGTTCCCTTATTCGTTTCCATGAGTATATATATACTTTTGACAGTAACAAATAAACCCATTTAAATTGAAAAAGAGCCCCAGTGAGCCCCAGACTAATTCTTATTATATCAATCGCTGATTTGTAAGGTTCACACTCATTTGCTGTTATTAGAAGGAGCCTTCTTCTGTCAGAAATTATTTTTAGTGTGGAGTTAAAGAACAACAACAACAACAAAATTTCACTTACTTTGCTAAGATTACCAAAATAGGAGTTGTGAAAATAGTCATATAGTATGAAGCAGGACCGTATCCTCGATTTAACCTGAAAAGTCAAGAGGATGAAGTTAAAACTTGCATTTTAGTCTGCAATATTTAAGAGTTTACACATGCATTAGACAAACATCACCTTTGTTATAATTATTTCTGGAAAACAGTTACCATGAAGATTATTAAGGAAAACCAAGTGCTATGGGTAGTCAACTTCTTTATTGCAATGAATGCAATGTTTAGGTGTAGGTACTAACACCGTTATCACTTGCTTCATAACGGTCTTAGTATCTACATCGAAACGTCGCACTTATTGCAATAAAGAAGTTGACTATCCATAGAAATTTGTTTTCCTTCATCTTCACAACTTCTAAAATGCCTCTCAAAGAAGATAGAAGATTATTGTCAAATATATGACGTCAACTAGGTTCTTAAGCACTGAACCTCGAGTCAGTCTAATGTGGAATCTAAATACATTTTGCATCCAATGGCATGGGAGCAGTTTGAAAATACAGCACATGACCTTAAACTTGCAAGTAACATTCCTCCTACTCTGTTAACGCTTACGCCATGCAGGCAGCAATAGTTGTGCAGGCCTTCAAAGTATTGTAGTGCAGTAGTTTCACAACAACTGTTTCAAGGAAATGGGAAATTTGCATGCCCACATTTGAAAGAAATGTCTCAATTACCATTGGTTTTAGAATGTAGAACAAACAAAGAATTCTGATTGGCAGCATTGCACAAAATGATTCAAAATTATGTACATAGGATCAAACTTTTGCTGACATATCACTGCTAAAGAATGACCCCAATGTAAGTGTGTCTTATTGATACCATTAACAGTTTTTCGCAGTTTGGGCAGAGGAACATGCACAAATAATATTGGAAATATTATCAACCATGACATTGTGTTGTTATGTGTCCATTTTCAAAACTGAAACAGAAAGATATCTGAGTATTAAATATGCTAAAGAATTCTGTGGGGAACCTACATACATAAAATGAAATGCAAGTAACAATTGTCACATGTGAATTTTTCATTTTTCTTTCTATCTCTGGGTGGAAGCTGTTTCCAACTTTTAAAAAAATCACACATATGCACTCAGCTGTCACCATGGTCAACAATATTCCCGATACCACAGTGTGCTCTTGGGTCATGTGCACCCTATCTCTACCGGGCCTGCCTTTGTCATTCTCAAGCCTTGACACCCTCAGGGGCAGGGGTGAAATTTGTAATCTGAGTGTCACCACTAATTAAGACTTGTAATAAAGTCATTTACTGAGTATCAAGTGAATGACTTCAAATACACAACTGTAGGGAACATAAAACATGGATGACCAGGAGGGAGCAGTGATTGTTGCATGGTATGCAATTTGCCTGAAAAGGTAAGGGACATTTCTGTTTTTAGTACATTAAATGTATACTGAAGTGTATAATTAGGTGTACATACACATGCGCATATACAAATTTGCAAGGAGAAATGTTCTTGTAAGCATAATCTGATGAAATAATTAGAGAATTCAAGGGGATTCCCCTGGTCTTCAATGGGGTACTACATCACTCAGGTCCGGTTATAGCCCGAGAAAGCCACATTTAAGAAAAACAGAGTTGAAAACAGCGTGGCTCAACCAGCAATGGTCATGGTTGAGTGATCGTGTGATGCGCTATTACTGTATTAGCTAATCCATGTTACCGTATATAATGTGAAATATTCAGTATGTAAAATCTAGAAATCAAGTTGAATTGTTCGTGGAGAAAAGTCCAGATAACGCAAACTAGCTGCCTCACATAGGTACTCAAACACCTTTTACGAATTATTTATGATTATACAACCAAGTATTTCTTTGAAGCATTTTAACTTATGGGAGGGTCAATTCAATGTTTTATCCTTTTCTGATAACTGTTTGAGATAAGAGCTGTTGCTGCTACAGTTACTATGTTTACATTCATGTTAAAAACTAAAAAAAACCAAAAAATTTTAGAAGAATGACTATTATTGCACAAATATACTTATAACCAGCTACATATGTGATGCCTAACTCTTTCCAGGGGTGGTGGGGTAGCCTAGTGGTTAAAGCGTTTGCTCATCACACAGAAGACCTAGGTTCGATTCCCCACATGGGTACAATGTGTGAAGCCCATTTTTGGTGTCCCTGTCGTGATATTGCTGGAATATTGTTAAAAGCGGCGTAAAACCCAACTTACTCACTCTTTCCATTCATAGCTGTTTTTAAGCAAAATTTATGACTAGATTTTCCATAATCAGTATTTTTGCCACCGTTGCAGTAATGACATTTTGAATTAGAGTTGAAATGTCACAGTAAATTTTATATTTCTTGACCAAAGTTCTCTGCTGATGCAATATACCAATCATACAAACCAAAGTAGTTGCCATGAAAGCATAAAAAAATACAGAAAATATGTATTTTCGTAAGAGCAAAAGCTAAAATTGCCCATTTCATAGAATGACCCATTAGCATGTCTAATTTTTTCTCAGAACATATGTTATCATATGTGAACTAAAAACTTCAACGAAAAAAAAGAAGCCGCTCATCATATGTTAACTAAACAAACAAACTACAAGTCACTAAAACAATTTCAATCCATTGTGATCAATGGGTGACGTTTATTTGAAAAAAACCCAGCATTAATTCCCTTACTTGTGGCTTTCCCGGGCGGACACCGAGTAGTAGATATAATGACAGTCTGAGATCAAGTCCAACAAAAGCCTCTGCAAAGCTTTATTTCACAAATAAAGCTTTTGTCAGGCCCTTAGATCTCGCCCCAGTATATCTACTACTTTTGAACCCCCAGTTAACTTCCCGGCCCCACGTGGCACTATTGTGCCGCTATGCCGTGTTGACAGGAGGTAACATTGTGCCGTATGGTATGATCAATAATTCCTGTCTAACGAACCCTCTCCCCTGGCCCATCTCTCAAGTAGTACAAGTTCGGCTCGTCGGCTTTGATGCCCACTTTATCTATGTTGTAAGTTTTGACTGACCATATCGGATCGGTGGCTCGCTTACGACTATCACCCTCGTGTTCCCCCGGCTGGTATAGGTACCTCACGAGGGCCCTATCTGGTATCTGTTTCTCTTTCCCACGCAATGGCGCGGCCAACTCAGCCACTATTGATTTTAGTTTGATAGCGTCGGCTGGTTTCTTGCCGGTGAGACGGGTGGTTTCGTGGTTTATGGCCGACACCACCTGAGGTAACCGCGCTACCCATTCAGTCGATCGTTTCCCCGGGTTGGCTATCTCTCTCGCATACTGATGCCCGAATAAGCGCTCGGCCAAAGTCCTATTGAATCTCTCAACTATGGCTTGGCTGCGATGGGCTCCGGCCGTGCCACGCCTGACCTTGGTATCGTGTTTGTCTAGCAGGTGTGACACGACACCCATGAACTCCTGCCCGGGGTCGACTTGCAGCTCTGTGGGCCACGTCAGCAGACTGCGCTTGTATATGCGTCGAATCCGCGGGCTACCTGGGCCGAGTCTTTCGCGGTCAAGGGTTCGGCTTCCTTGTAGCGACTGGCAACGTCCACGACGGTTAGGGCATACTTGTACCTCTTGTTGTGGGGTAGGAATAGGAGGTCGGCCTGGTGAACGCTATAGGGTATGTTAATACCAAACTTCCTTCTAGGCACGTAGCGTGGTGCCGGTAAATAGATCTGCCACAGGGCTTGCTTTTCAAGCCACGCTTTGGCCTCGCTTTTGGGGTACTCGCGTCATTTTAGCCAGCTTATGTACGGCACTAGCTCCTTTCCAGTACCCACGCGGGCTGTAGTAAATAGCCTCAAACTTTCTTTGGTTCCGTGACATGTCGCCCCCATATATACACCTATGTTCTTGGTTCAATTTTCTCATGCCCGTACGCGTACCTGTTGATCCCATCAATAGCTATCCAACGCTTAGTGTCTACGGCGACAGGGACGTCTTGTTTATAGTCAGTCCGTATATCCTATGCCCATCACTTCTAAGCGTGTTCATTTTATGTCTAAAGGTACGGGTCTTGAACAGGGCTTCCTTGAATCTGGCGTGTTTGATGTGTTGTTTCACCACGTACTTCTTAACACCCTTCGCCTTCCGGATATCACCATTGTCGGCCTTCAGGATGGAGTACATCTTGGGTCTCAAGCCTATGTACTGCGGCTATGGGCGTGCCAAGCACACTCGTCCTTCATCTTACCTAGGACCTTTTTATTTACCGTGCTGTGTATGGCATGGTCCTTGGGGTAGTCGCTGGTGTCATACAAATCGAGTAGGCGTTTTTCACGTCCTCGCATTACCGCCCTCGGTTCGAATCTCCATCAGCAGGAATCCGTGTCAGTGTACAGCACTTCACACCTGTCGCCGTACTGTTTTTTCAGTTCGTTGTAGTAAAAGTCGTACATCAGGTGTTTGGATAAATCGAGGATGCTCATCCCCACGTAAACAGGCCGGTTGAATTTGATGTGGCTTTTCTTCATGTGTAGGGCAACCAGGTCGTCGGTGAATATCTTGCTCCGGTTGAATGCTGGGCTGGCTATCAGTTTCCTGAGCTTGTCTTCCTCATTCGACCGAACCAGCTTCACGGTCACGACTTTCCTCAGGTTCTCGATAGTCTTACCGAACACCGAGTTGTTCATGAGCTTGTAGAGGTTTTTCTCAAAGTCACTGGTGGCCAGCTTCTGCAGGTCCGTGTTCATTCTGATGTAAGGCTCCATCCAGGGGCTCTGGTTGAACACGAGCACCCTGTGTATTTTGGTCAGCCTCATACCCAACGACAGGTACAGCTGTAGGTTGCGATAGTGAACTATGTACTTGGTCTTATTCATTAAGTTGGGCACGAAGTTTTCAACGTCTGCCACCCACCTAACAAGTTATGTTGGTACTCAGACATCCAGTCTGGGTTAACCCTCATACGTTCGGGGGCCAGGGGGTAGCTGTTGTGTGATGTGTGTAATGCCTTGGGGTATTCCAAGTCCACCTCGAGGATATAACCTTTGCTCAAATCGTCCGCGATGCTCATAACATCAATCTCGTGCGATGCCCATTCGAATCCCCCTGTG